CACCAAGTGCTATTAATTATATTGCTTACATATTTTTAAATCTATTCTTCCTAACATCACTGCACCCTTAAATCAAAACCACCATTATTTTTCACATGGTCAAATGCTTTACCCTCCTATGTGGTCTTCCTACTTCTTCTCTTTTTAAAGATATTATTTTTATTGGAATATAATTTATATACCATAGACTTACCCTAAGATGTAAAATTTAGTGGTTTTCAATATATATTCACAAGGTTCAAATGTCATCACTATCTAATTCCAGAATATTTTCATCACCACAAAAAGAAACCTTGCCCTGGCCGGTTTGGCTCAGTGGTTGGAGCATCAGCCTGCGGTCCAGAGAGATCCGGGTTCAGTTCCCACTAAGGGTATGTACATCGGTTGCAGTTTGTCCCCGGCCCTGGTTGGTCGTGCGGGTGGCAGCCACTCGATGTGTCCCTTTCACGTCAATGTTTCTCTCTTTCTCTTCTTCTCTCTCCCTCCCACTCTATCTGAACAAAAACTGGAAAATGTCCTCAGGTGAGGATAAAAAAAAAAAAAAAAGAAACTTATACCCATTAGCAATTGCTTACCGTTCTCCTCTCCCCTCAGCTTCTGGTAACCACTAATCTACCTTCTGTCTATGGATTTGCCTTTTCTGGACACTTCATATAAATGGAGTCATTTAATATATGGTCCTTTTGCCTGGCTTCTTTCACTTAGCATAATGTTTTCAAGGTTTATCCAGATTGTTTCATATATGAGTATTTCATTTTTTTAATAGCTGAATACTATTCCATTGTATAGATACACTACATTTTGTTTATCTATTTTTTAGTTGATGGACATTTGGGTTGTGTTTTCATTTTGGGTCATTATGAACAATGCTTCTGTGAACACTTGTTTACACATTTTTGTGTAGACATATGGTTTCACTCTTTTTAGATGTACAAGTAGGAATGAAATTACCAGTCATATGGTGACTCTATGTTTAATTTTTTTAAGATCTGCCAAGCTGTTTTCCAAAGTGTTTGCACTGTTTTACATTTCCATCAGCAATGTATGAGGATTTTAATTTCTCCACATCTTTGCCAATGCTTATTGAGAGATATTGGTTTCTAGTTTTTTTTCTTTTTCTTTTTCGTGTGTGTGTGTGTGTGTGTGTGTGTGTGTGTGTGTGTTGTTTTTGTCTATATTTGGTGCCAGGGTAATACTGGCCTCATAAAATAAGTTGGGAAGTGTTTTCTCCTCTTCTGTTTTCTGGATAAGAGTGTATAAAATTGATGTTAATTCTTTAAGTGGTAGAATTCTTCAGTGAAAGCATCTGTGCCTGAAGATTTCTTTTTCTGGAAGCTTTAATTACAGATTTATTTTTTTAATGGTGATAGGACTATTCAGGTTATCTACTTCATGTTTGTTTTTCGTAGGTTTTCAAGGAATTGATCTATTTCTTTTAAGTTGTTAAATGTTTGAGCTGAATTTATGAGGAATCACTGGAAGTTTTCATATTGGTATATTTCTAAAATGGGCACATGGTCATACAAATAATTCTATAAATATAGGTGACAAAGATACATAATTAAGCTGAGTAAGATCTAGAATTTATGGAAATGATGCAGACTTTTAATCTATGGTATAGTTTCTGAAATGCACAGCATTTCTGTTTTTTTCCATTATCTTCTTAAATTTAACACATAAAAATATAATACTGGGTATGTTGGAAATTTCTAATAAGAGTGTATTAAATTGAGATTTATTTAAATTAACCTTTTTTTCCCCACACCCAGGAATTGAGCCTAAAGTAGAGTTTTCTCCCTCACTTTACTCAGGTCTCTGCTCGGTTGTTGCCAATTCAGGGAGTCCTCCCTGGCCACCCATTTGAAATAGGGCACCTGTTTACTTGTTTACCATCTCCCTCACTAGAAGGTAAGTTCTTTCAGGGCAAATACTTTATTTTGTTCCCCTGCTGTGTCCTATGGTGTCGAGTACCTAGAAAGTTCTAACTATGTGGTTGATAAATAAATGCATCTTTTTCAGCTTCACACAACTGGTGTTACTTTTGGTCCTATTTATTGAGGTGGCCTTGGGTTATCCTGTATATTTCCCATTCCTCATATCAAGGTGTAAAATTCAAATCTTAAATCTGGAAGAAGCTCCTTTGAGGTCGTCTAGTTCAAACCCCTCCCAGTGTAGCAATCCTGCCTGCTGTGTGTAGTCTTTCTATTTAATGGGAGTGTTCTGAGTGACAAGTGACAAGGCTTATTACACATTACTTAGCACTTAGTGCTCTCCTAACATGAGCCAATCAGCTGCTTCCACCCCACTACTCTGTGACCTCCCTGTCATACCATAATTCAGTTTTGAATCTTGCAAGTCCATGGTTTAGTAGATCACATGTCCTATAAGCGTTTTTCCTGAAAATGCTCTTTTCCCATTCATCGAGGACTGTGTTGCGCTTCCTCTTCTTAGACTACCAGACAAAGAAACAATGTCTTTATGAAGAATTGACAAGACACACTTAGGTTTGGGTGCTCATGAGTGAGGAATCTAAACAAATGTTGGGCTTGGATAATGAATTAGTAAAGGAGTAACAAGGTTTGTTCAGCCCTGCATTCCTTAACTGTAGCGATAAGGGTATCTCCCTCAGCTCCCTTGCAGCAAGGAGGAAAGGAAGACACCTTTAACTGCAAAAGTTTATTTCCTATAACTAGCCCTTTTTTTAAAAAAAATCCTAATCCAAGGACAGGCTCTTTTTTTACAGAGAGAGGAAGGGAGAGGGAGAAAGAGAGAAAAAACATCCATGTGAGAGAGAGACATTAGTTGGTTGCCTCCTACACACATCCCAACCAGAGATTAAACCCGCAACCTGGGTATGTACACTGACTGGGAATCAAAGCCTTGATGCTTGGGTGCACAGGATGACACTCCAGTCAGCTGAGCCACACTGTCCAGGGCTCAACTGACCCTTGCACCAACTGCTTATCAAATAATTTTAATTCAAAATAATCAATATGCCATTATAGGATATTTTGGGGTGGCTTACCCGGGTTCCCAACACTGTTATTAAAGCTCACTGCTATGTTAGCTGTGAAATCAAGGTTTTCTTAACAAAGCTATAGGTTTTATTAAGATCAAGGCTGTGTAAGTCAGTTTCCTATTGAAAAGGTCCTTATTTTTAACGTGAAAGGTAATCAGTGAATACATATCAGAAAAATTTGCCTTAGAGCTGTAAACACAGAGCTTGTTTCTTTTCTTATGTGTCTTACACACAGAAGAAGAATATAGGGAATGTTTGTTTGTCAAGCTGGTATCTTTAAGAAACTGAGGATGCCAAGTTTGAAAAGGCACAAAAGTCTAATTTAAAATGAGACACTTAAAAGGATTCTATGATGAGGCAGTTTGATTAGTTGTAAACTTGGGAGTGATTCTGTGTTGTGCTGTATAAAAGCTATTTGCAGACCAGAATTTTAAACTAAATAGAAGCAGTTCAGCATTTAGCCATGTGCTTTGGAAGTCATTTGATTGGAACCTTTATTTCTACAACATAATAATATAAAGCTTTTGACTTTTAGATCCAAAAGGTCATTTTGGCACTTGAATACTATCTGGGAGCAACTGGTCACTGCTGCTTTGTGAAATCAGTGTTCAAAATGAAAAGCAAAAACTGTAGTCTGTTGCTGCACATACAGGCAGTTGGTACTCCAGGGAGAACACGTTATGTTACATAGAGAATCTTTGTAAGTATTACCATATTTTCCTAAAGCATTTTTAACCAGTGATATGTGGGGTATGAGAGAAAAACAAATAATTAGCCTAATTGTTTAAGCTGTTTGTCATGCATGAATATCTAGAGGTGACACACTTTTCTTGAATAGACATTATATTTTTTTAGAATGGTTTTAGGTTTACAGACAAATTGAGATGATAGTACAGAGAGTTCTTATATACCTTGCACTCAGTTTCACATATGATTAACATCTTATATTATTATGGTACATTTGTTAAAATTAATGAACCAACATTGGTACATTATTATGAATTAAAGTCCAGAGTTTATTCAGATTTCCTTAGTTTTTACCTAATGTCTTTCTGTTCCAGGATCCCACCCAGGCACCACATTACATATAATCATCATATCTCCTCTTGGCTGTGACAGCTTCTCAGATTTTCTTTATTGTTGATGACCTTGATAGTTTTGAGGAGTATTGGTCCAATAATTTGTAGAATGCCCTACATTTGAATTTTGTCTGATGTTTTTCTTAAGGTTAGACTGGGGTTAGGCGTTTAGGGGAGGAAGACCACAGAGGTAAAGTGCCATTTTCTCATTACATCAAGGGTTTGACTGTTGGTATTGACCTTGATAACCTGGCTGAAGTAGTATTTGTGAGGTTTCTCCACTGTAAAGTTCCTCTTCCCCCTCCCATTCTATACCAAAGTCTTTGCAAGAAAGGCTCTATGCACAACCCACACATAAGTAAGATTTATTTTTGTAATTTTCTAAAATGAAGATGTTTGTTTTGGATGAAGCAAATAAATATGTTGAGCCAAGGGATTGCGGAACAAATCCATGAGATTTACCATTAATTAAATACAGGTATTCAGGTATGACATGCCTTTTCTGTAGCTGGCGGGTTGGGTTGTTACAGTATAGCTGTGAAGTGCTATATTGTCCTTTCCCCTGCTGAAAGCAACTGTTTCCTACAATCTCTGTCTGGCTCATTTCTGTAGTTAGACAGGGACGCTTGGTCTCAAACATTATTTCTCCAAGTGTTATTATGAAAACTGTTATATCTGCTTAATTAATTTGTTAACATAGTCACTGTCTCTTTTTTAAGGTTATGTTGCTTTCTGCCTGATGCCAGTTGATCTGCTGCAAGTCATCAGTTCATGAGATCCATTTCAAATTCTGGTGAGGAAGGAAGAATTGACTCTTGAAAGGGTCAATCTTTTATAATTTTGAAAAAGGGTAATGTTTTTCTAGTTGATGTACCTAAAAATTATAGCCAGGATTTTTTTTAACCTTCTTCTTTAAGCTCTGTGCTAAAATAGCAGAACCTAGTGTCTAAGTATTTGTAATAAAGCTAAGCATCATAAACACAAGAAGAAAAACAACAGTACAGTACAAGGTAGTAGAAAAACTAAGAAGAACAATTATTTTTTTAAGTCCAAGTTACTTTGTTCTAAGATTTGGTACAATAATATCTGTATTTAGGCAGATTAATAAAATGAACTTCTAACTGGTCTCTTCCAGTAGTAGGGATGAGAGTTAAAAATCAAATGGCTTGCCCTGGCCAGTTTGGCTCAGCAATTAGAGCATTGGCCTGCGGTCCAGAGATACCCGGGTTCGGTTCCTGCTAAGGGCATTTATCTCGGTTGCAGTTTGTCCCCGGGCCTGGTTTGGTCGTGCGGGTGGCAGCCACTCGATGTATACCTTTCATGTCAATGTTTCTCTCTCTCTCTCTTTTCCACTCTCTCCCTCCCACTCTATCTGAACAACAACAACAACAAAATCAAATGGCTTTTTATTGCAACTTTGAGATGAATTAATATTCTCTGAATTACTGTAGGGAAGGAAATTGTATCTTCTTTGTGACATATAAGAGACCAGCAAGTACCTTGGCTGTTCTTTTTCAGAACATGAGGCAAAGGTAGATTGGCTTCTGAGAAAAATATGTACCAGGAATTTCAATTTCTGATGTGATAGGAGTGGCCATTCCCCAGTATTGCTAATTAAGACACTGTTAATATTTAATTATTTCCTTAATAAACTGAAGCAGGATATAGTTGCAATGTAGCTGGGAAGTGCTGCATTGTCTTTGCCTCCTGCTCAAAATAAACTGTGTCCTTTCTAGCCCTGTTGGCCATGGTGCTGTAGCTGCCAGGGATGCATGGTCTCACACATGTTTCCCAATTTAAACACTAAGTCGACCAACGACTCTTGAGCATTAAGTCTGTTAATATTTGCAGGTGGTGACAGAAAGAGACATTATCAAGAAGGAATTGAGATAAGGGACAAACCACATTTTGATTACTATGACTTATTGGGACTTTAATTTCTTATTTAATTATAATATTTATCTCCCAAAAGTTGGTTTTGAGGAGAAAATTTTAAGTCTTCTTTGTCAGCTCAAGTTATATACGTGGATAAAGACCACACTCCACAGCAAGCTGTATGCGGTCTATGTAGTTCATTACTATTCCCTGGCCCAGGAGAGTACGCAGCAGTTGACTTTAAATCAGAATGTGCATATATACTATTATATCTCAGACTCATGATTTTTATGTAAGACTAGTATCTATGCTTATAAACTATGATCTACCCACTACTTGTGAAAACTATATTCTTAGTTGAGTATTTGTCATCTTCATTGAATTACTTGCTTTAATTCTGGTGAATTAAAATTATGTATCACTTTTCAAGTGTTACTTTGTCAGCCAGACAACCTTGAAAGTCAGATAAATGAACCAGGAAAATAATCTTATCACCTAGTAACGTGATAAGATGTATTTAAATTGTACGTTGGTTGATCAGAACACAGGGGGAAAGCAAATGTGAAATTAAAATGTGAAATAAAGTTTTGGACTTTATACAATTGATATTCAAAGGAAAATTAATAATGCTGTTAGGTCTGTTGTCTTAACTTGCACACGTCGTTGTCATCTTTTTTTTTTTTTTTTTGTCATATTGCTCAAATCTTGTGCTTTCTTGGTGATTCCTCTATAACTGGATTTTCTCTGCACTTTCTGGTAGCAATTTATATTGACCCTGGCATAGTTCTAGTTGTTTTATCATTAAATTTAATTATGTCTTGTTACTAATATAAAAATAATTTTGTTTAAAAAAATATAATAGGTGCTAAGAATAGGTGACACGGTGAGGCTCAGAAATGGTGTCCTGATTTATGACACAGATTCGTAAATCAAACAGCATGTTGTTTGAATAAAGAGAGAGTCAGTGTTTCCATGCTTGTTTTTCTCTTGTCCTGGTTATTTGATATTTTAAGTTGCTCCAGCAAAGACATTTTTGATTGGTTGTATTATGTGTTTCGGTGGAGAGCTGTAGTGGTAAACATATTTCAGTTATTTGTGTTATAGTGTATGAGGTGGTCAGAAAACAGTGATAAATATAGAAAACTTTTGGAGGTGCCCCACCATATACTGGAAAAGTTTTAAGTCCTGGATCAAGTCTATCCAATAGAACTTTCTGCAGTGATGGAAATGTTTTCTATCTGTGCTGCCTAACGCGGCAATGATGGGCCACAGGGTGGCTATTGAAATGTGGTTAATGCAACTGAGGAACTGAAGTTTCTATTTTATTTCATTTTAATTAACTTAAACTTAAATAGCCACATATGGCTAGTGACTATTGTATTGGACAGCATAGACCTAAATAATAGTTAACATTCCAGAGTTTATATTTTCAGCTTATAGTTCCAAATGTATGTCAAAATGGATTATATAACTGTTCTTTTGGTTTTGTCCCTGGTCTTTACAACTGTCCCAGTCTGACACCTGCTCTTGTCTTACTTTGGAATGGGATTTAATTTCACTGCCTCAAACACAATACTGTCATCTGCTGTAAAAATAATAATGCTCAAGATGCCTGATAGAATCTGTTTTTGTAGCCAAATTCTTTTGCACTAATTACAGAAGAAATCTTTTCTTTTTCCTTAGATATTGTGATGAGCATCTAGTGCACCAATTACAAGTACTCTGTGTATAATCTGGGCAAATAAATAGCCACTCTTTCTTAACAAGTAGCTCATATTGTTAGTAGTTCATGTAGTATTTATAAGGAATATTCTGATGAATAATTTTTCCTCTGTTCATAATTGGCAGGAGGAGGAACATTTGAAAGGAAAGCTATGGCCCTAAGCATTGAAGAAGACAAGATTCTTCATGACCTGAGACTTCCTGCCACACTGTAGGGAGGAAATATTTTTTAATTAAATTTATTGGGCTGACATTGGTTAATAAAATTATATAGTTTTCAAGTTTACAATTCTATGATACATTATCAGTATATTGCATTGTGTCCCCACCAACCAAAGTCAACTCTTCTATCACCATATGTTTGACTCCTTTTCCTCTGCTAACAATTGTTCTGTTATCTGTGTCTATGAGTTTTTGTTTGTCCATTGGTTGCTTTCTGTTTTATATCTTACATATAAGTGAAATCATATGGTTCTTGACTTTTTCTGTCTGACTTATTTTGCGTAGCACGATATTCTCAAAATCCATTCATGTAGTCACAGATGGCATTATTTTATCTTTTCTTATATCTTAGTAGTATTGTAATTACATACAACTTTTTATTCAGTCACTATTGAAGGACACTTCAGTTGTTTCCATGTCTTGGCCACTGTTGAGTAACGCTGCAGTGAACATAGAGGTGCATATATATCTCTGCAAATAAATGTTTTCAAAATTTTGGGGTAGATACCCAGAAGAGGGTATGATGGATCATATAATAACTCTATTCTTAATTTTTTGAGGAGCCTCCATACTGTTTTCCACAGTGGCTGTACCAGTTTACATTCCCAACAGCAATGAATGAGGGGTTTTTTTTTCTCTCGACAACTACTCCAACACTTGTTCATAACAGCCATTCTGATTGGTGTGAGGTGGAATGTCATTATAGTTTTTTTTTTAATGTTTTTATTGAATTTGTATAGAGGAAGGGAGAGAGAGATAGAAACATAGATGTGAGAGGGAAACACCAATCGGCTGTCTCCTGCACGACCCCTACTGGGGATCAACCCCACAACCTGGGCATGTGCCCTGACTGGGAATCAAACCAGGACCTCTCAGTCCATGGGACTGCTTAATCCATTGAGCCACACCGGCTGGTCTGTCATTGTAGTTTTGATTTGCAGTTCCCTAACAGCTAGTGGACTAGCTATTATGTTGGCCATTTGTATGTCTTCTTGGGAGAAGTGTCTGTTCAGGTCCTCCGCCCATTTTTTAATTAGATTCTTTGTTTGTTTGGTGTTGAGCTGTATGAGTTCTTTATATATTTTGGATATTAACCCTTATTGGAGCTGTTGTTTGCAAATAGCTTCTCCCATTTGATCAGTTGTCTTTTTTTTTTTTTTTATCCTCACCGGAGGACATTTTTTTCCATTTTTTGTTCAGATAGAGTGGGAAGGAGAGAGAGAGAGAGAAACATCGATGTGAACGGGACACATCGAGTGGTTGCCACCTGCATGACCCAACCAGGGCCGGGGACAAACTGCAACCGAGGTACGTGCCCTTAGCGGGAACTGAACCCGGGTCTCTCTGGACCGCAGGTCGACGCTCTAACCGCTGAGCCAAACTGGCCAGGGCTTGATCAGTTGTCTTTTTGTTTTGGTATTGGTTTCTTTTGCTGTACAGAAGTTTTTTGGTTTGATATGGTCCCATTCATTTATTTTTGCCTTTACTTTCCTTGTCTTTAGAGTCTTATAGTCAAGTATTTGATCCATTTTGAGTTAATCTTTGTATATGGAAACAAACAGTGGTCTAGATTCATTCTTCTTCATGTGGCTTTCCAATTTTCCCAGCACCATTTATTGAAGAGGCTTTCTTTTTTCTCCTAATAGCCAAAGCAATCTTGAGAAGAAGAAAACAAAGCCAGAAGTATCACACTTGTAGTGGAGGAAATTTCAATGAATGTGGCTGGCTGATTTAATTCCTGGGATGAGATAGTTTTTTTTTTAATTAATTAATTTATTTTTGTTACAGATGTTTCTCCTTTTTCCCCCCACTGATTCCCCACTCCCCCTCCCTCCATGCCCTGTCCTCAGCTTTGTTGTCCATGTCCATTGTTCATGCATATATGCATATAACTTCTGTAGTTTATCTCTCCCCCACAACACCCTCTTCTGGGGATTGTCAGTCTGTACCCCATTTCCACGTCTCTGGGACTACCCCTTTCTGCAGACTGTTATGTTCATTATATTCCACAAACAAGTGAGATCATATGATACTTGCCTTTCTCTGTTTGGCTTGTTTCGCTTAGGATGATACTTTCCAGGTCCCTCCATATCGTCTCAAAGGATAAGAGATCATTCTTTCTTACAGCTGCATAGTACTCCATTTTGTATATGTACCACAGCTTTTTTATCCATTTGTCTACTGATGGACACTTGGGCTGTTTCCAGATTTAGCTATTGTAAATAGTGCTGCTGCAAACATGGGGGTACATATATTCTTTCTGATTGGTGTTTCAGACTTCTTAGGGTATATTCCTAGAAGTGGGATCACTGGGTCAAATGGAAATTCAATTTTTAATTTTTTTTTAGGAAATACCATATTGTTTTCCATAGTGGCTGCACCAGTCTGCATTCCCACCAGCAGTGTACTAGAGTCCCCTTTTCTCCACACCCTCACCAACACTTGTTGTTTGGTGATGTGTTGATGGTGGCCATTCTGACAGATGTGAGGTGATACCTCATTGTTGTTTTAACTTGAATCTCTCTGATAATTAGTGATGTTGAGCATTTCTTCATATGTCTCTTGGCCATTTGTATGTCCTGTCTGGAGACGTGTCTATTTAGTTCCTCTGCCCATTTTTTAATTGGGTTCTTTGTCTTCCTTTTGTTGAGTTGTATGAGCACTCTATATATTTTGGAAATTAACCTCCTATCTGATATATCCTTGGCAATTATGCTCTCCCATCCAGTGTGTAGCCTTTCCGTTTTGATGATTGTATCTTTCACTGTGCAGAAGCTTTTTATTTTGATGTAGTCCCATGTGTTCATTTTCTCCTTTATTTCTGTTGCCTTAGGTGATGTAACACTGAAAATTCTGCTGCGTATGATGTCTGAAATTTTGTTGCCTACAGTTTCTTCTAGGATTTTTATGGATTCATGGGTCACATTTAAGTCTTTTATCCATTTCGAGTTTATTCCTGTGTAGGGT